TGCTGAAGAGGGGGGTTAGGGAGAGGTATTTGCACATATGAATGGGGGGGGGGCACTGAAGGGGGCAGTTTGCCTTCCATCAAAGCCACCAACCATCCCTGGTTTTGAGAAAACAGGAATGCATGGACAGTGCAAGGGAGGAATGAGGAGTGGCATGGGGGGAGGAATTAATCCCTTGCATATCCACCACCTCTTGCCTACAAATGCCTCCCCCTCCAGAATGCATGGAGATGATTATGCATCATGAAAGAACTGGATAGCATGTTACAAAAAACATACTCTTTTTCCTCCAGAAGGAAAACTCTTGGCAATCAGAAGTGAAATTGGCAGGTAGGCCTTACTCATCCATTCTATTTACCTTGCTATGCACAGGTATTCCCATGAATGAATTGGTGGGAATTTGTTCCCCTGCAAAAACTAGTACATCTGAGCGCCCATACAGGGGTTAAAGTCACTGAAAGTATTTAAATTGGATTATCACCATCTGCTGATTTATATATAGAGCTGAATTTTAATTTTTACTGTATTACGTTATAATCTTTTAAATTGTTATATTCATATGCTGTGAGCCACCATGAGCCACCATGAGGATATAAATTAAATGAATAAATAAATAAGAAAGGTTTAGCCCCCTCCTCCCCCTGTGATACTTACCTGCAAGTACACCCTCTTCACATTAGCATTACAAGGGGAATAAGGGATTGCTAAAATCCAGTCACATCAAGTTCTGCTGTCTACATGTTAGGAAGAAGAACTAGATGCTCAGGATTATGACTAGCGGTATCTTCAGCTTGGAAACGGAGATGAGCATGAGCACTGCCCCCTAGACTCAGATTTGACTAGCTTTCGAGCAAGGGAAATCTTTATCTTTACTATCTTGGAGCAAGGACAGTGCCTCAGAGCATGTGCAGAGGGCTCTTTTATGTGTTATGCAAATTGCACTTTGAAATAAAGGATGCAAGGGTCACTCCAAAGCGAAGTGTTATTGCCCAGGCTAATTTCCCAGACTCTGCCCCCTGGAGGAGAGCAAAAAGGATTTGTCCAGCTCTTTGGTCCATTCTATTTACCTTGCTATGCACATGTATGAATTGGTGGGAATTTGTTCACCTGCAAAAACTAGCCCATGCAGGGGTTAAAGTCTCTGAAAGTATTTAAATTGGATTATCACCATCTGCTGATTTATGTGTAGAGCTGAATTTTAATTTTTACTGTATTATGTTTTAATCTTTTAAATTGTTATATTCATATGCTGTGAGCCACCATGAGCCACCATGAGGATATAAATTAAATGAATAAATAAATAAGAAAGGTTTAGCCCCCTCCTCCTCCTGAGATACTTACCTGCAAGTACACCCTCCCCACATTAGCATTACAAGGGGAATAAGGGGTTGCTAAAATCCAGTAACATCAAGTTCTGCTGTCTACATGTAAGGAAGAAGGACTAGATGCTCAGGATTATGACTAGCGGTATCTTCAGCTTGAAAACGGAGATGAGCATGAGCACTGCCCCCTAGATTCAGATTTGACTAGCTTTCGAGCAAGGGAAACCTTTATCTTTACTATCTTGGAGGAAGGACAATGCCTCAGAGCATGTGCAGAGGGCTCTTTTATGTGTTATGCAAATTGCACTTTGAAATAAAGGATGCAAGGGTCACTCCAAAGCGAAGTGTTATTGCCCAGGCTAATTTCCCAGACTCTGCCCCCTGGAGGAGAGCAAAAAGGATTTGTCCAGCTCTTTGGTGCAACGGCAAAGGGCTGCCGGATGGGGAAAGATCACCTGGGAGGAGACACACAGTTCTTGGGGAAACAGAGAGCACCAAAGAAGGGCATGATTCCCAAACTTGCCCCTGCTTTTGACCATCTAGGGATTTGCCAGCCATGTTCTATAAACAGAGCTTTTATTTACCAGGACTCCCACCGTAAGTCTGCAAAGATCAGGGCACGGGAGTAAATTACTCACACAACCACCTGACAACAGGGGAAAAGGGAACACCTCATTCGGCGAGGAGGGGAGCACATTACAAGTCTTACGGTGCCCTGCCTTTGCTCACCAGAGAGTCACGACATTTTCAATCCCAGCACTGTGTACTTTTAAAATCATCCATCAATTACATTAAACTCTTTAAATTTTTAAAAGCACTTTCAACTGCCAGGAGAGGCCAGCAGCCAAAGATCGAGCTGGTGATCTGGACGCAGCAACATATGACATCTGAGTCTCCTTGCCTTTCCCAGCACTGGGCGCACGCGATCCCTCCTCTCCCTCAAAGCAAACCCCATCGAAGTTTTGGCTGGCTCCTGTAGCACTGTTCCTGTCTTACAGATGAGGGACTGTTTTGAAAGCAACCTGGTCAGACTCCACCAGCCGCAGCTCACAGCAGATGGAAGGAATTGTGAGCCAGCTCCTTGTCCGCCAGCACCAGCAAAATCAAGCCTCCGGAAAGGACCCTGCTCGGTTCTCCTGCTCACTCCTATTCTTATTTTGAGGAGTACAGAGCCAAGGATGTTCAAAACTCCACTGTCAAGGCAACCAGCGCAGAGAACCACCAGTGCCACATCTGGCCACTGACAGCAGGCCACGTTAATCCTTTCATCACTTTTTGGTCTGAATTGGATGTGGGCTGGGCTTTATTCCTCAGACTACCACTTGGTACACAGCTGTGGGAAATTAAGGGTAAGGTGCATTCCCTTCTTAATGCTTCCTTCCTTTCTTTTTCTTGTGTTACATTCTAACTCTTCTTCAGAAACAGAAGAGTATGGGGGGGGGCATCGGAAGTCCATTTGCTCCCTCCCCTTCCCAAGGCCAGTTCTTCATCTAAGCAACTGCTTCTAGCAGTACAAGGACGGTAAAACAAACAAAAGAACAGGCTCGGTAACCAAAAAGACTGAAAAAAGAGAGGAAAAAACCCTTACATATGGGAATATAAATGTCAATTACAAAAGAAAGGTTAACATTATATTCCAAAAACACCGATCAAATTCTAAATACAAAAACTATGCATCAAAATATATCAATTTTTGTTATACATACAGACACACACACATCTTCCACTGGTGTAAAAAACCTTCATAGTAAAACTGCACTTACATACATGAGGATGTTAGTGTTCCCTCTAAGCTGAGTTAGTGTGAGCTAGCTTACAGTTTTTTAAGTCTCTGGCTCACACATTTCTGTCTTGGCTCAGGAAGGAGGGCTCCAGCGCAAACTAACTGATGCAGCAGCCAAATCACTCGCTCACAACTTGAATGCCAGTAGCTCACAAAGAAGAATTCTTCCTCACAAGACTCCACAGCTTAGAGGGAGCACTGGGTGTTACTCTCTTACAATCATCGTTCCTATGACAGGTACAATGATAAAGAGCATAGAAGACCACAGAATACATGCAAACGAAGCCATGCCAAGGAGGAGGGTGCCAGTGGCTCAGTCTCAGTCACCAGCAGCACGGGAGGCCAATGGCATCCCTCACAGGGCCTGTGGCATCACCCGGGATTGCCAGCCGCCAGGTGGGGCCTGGGTAGGGTTGCCAACTCTTAAGTAGAGAAACCCCTGGAGATTTAGGTGTGGAACCTGGAGATGGTGGGGTTTGGGGAGGGGGGGGGCCTCAGCATGGTACAATGCCATAGAGTCCACCCTTCAAAGCAGCAACGCTTGGCCTGAAGATCTCCCAGAATTACAGCTGCTCCCCTGATGACAGAGAGCAGTTCCCTCGGATTAAATGGCTGCATCGGAAGGTGGGCTCTATGGCATCACATCCCTGCCGCACTCCCACCCCTCCCCGGGCCTCCCCCACCCCCCACATCGCCATGAATGCCCCAGCCTAAAGTTGGCGACCCTAGCACGTCTGCAGGGGCTTGGTTTGGACCCCGCCAGCAACAGTGCAAGCCTGGCAGGGTGTTTCTCTTGCTCGGAAGATTTTGTTCTCAATCGTTACACGTTTGCTTACACAGCATCATCCAGGGCTCACAAAAAAGAAGATAAAAACCGATCTCTGCCAAACTGGCAAATGGTTCAGCCAACTGAATCATCTGGACGTAGACGAAGAAGAAGAAGAGATTGGATTTAT